AGAGCTGTAGGCTGTGGGGATGCTCAGGCATGTGACACCACCAGCTAGCCAGTCAGTCCACCCAGCAGGGTTTGGGCAGACCTCTGTTTTTGTCACCAGGAGAGCCCTCTGAGCCCTGAGTCAGTGGAACTTGTATGCCTGCATGTCCCCGTCCTGTTCCATGATGCTTTGCCAGCTCAGAGCTGGGCTGTCTAGTTGAGTTCTGGATTTCCTCACTTTGTACCAAGGTATGGGGGAACCTTCCAGAATGTGTCTGTAAAGCTGCCCATCACACTCAACAAGTTTTTCCAGCCCACAGAGATGGCATCTCAAGATTTCTTCCAGCGCTGGAAGCAGCTGAGCAGGTGAGAAGCCTGGCATGCTTGGTGGGCAGGGTTGAGGAACGCAACATGGGTAGGCTCACGCTCACTGTCGTTGGAGGGGCTGGCACGCGACACGGCTGGGCTCACGCTCACTGTCGTTGGAGGGGATGGCACGCGACACAGCTGGGCTCACGCTCACTGTCACTCTGCACAGTCCGCAGCAGGAAGTGCAGAACATCTTCAAAGCCAAGCACCCGATGGACACGGAAATCACCAAAGCCAAGGTGAGTGCTGGGTCCTGGCATCCCTGGGCCTGAAGCACAGCCCAAGGCCTTTGCAGGGGTCTCGGTCTTGGCCCTTGCTGGTTCAGGACCTCCATAGCCTGCTGACTGATAGGTCCACATTTCTTTTGACCAGATTATTGGGTTTGGTTCTGCGCTCCTTGAAGAAGTCGATCCTAATCCTGCAAATTTTGTGGGTGCCGGAATCATCCATACCAAAACTACCCAGATCGGATGCCTGCTGCGCCTGGAGCCCAACCTGCAAGCCCAGGTGAGGCTGCGCAGGCTGCTGCTGAGCGACGCCGGGCCCATCGAGGTGCTGGTGCTGTGTGGGATGGCAGGAGGTCAAAGTGCCACTACGTGCACGCCACTACCGTCACGGTGCCAGTGTGCAGGTCAGGCCATGCAAGGTGCTGTTGAGCGCACACCGGGCCCGTCACAGTGCCAGTGGTGTGCGGGTGAGGCCGTGCAAGGTGCTCCTCAGTGCACGCCGGGCCCATCACGGTGCCAGTGGTGTGCGGGTCAGGCC